AACATATATATATATATATATATATATATATATATATGGCGAGACTCTAGCATGTATATTTGAAACTAAATTGTTGTCACTATATTGTTCTAAAGTCAATCAATGGTTTTTCAAAAAAAAAAAAATTCCAAGTATTTACTTGAGAGAATTAGAGACACACTCAATCTCCCACCAAACCTTTCTTCTCTCTATAATATTATCTCTCCACACCTAAGTTCTCATTCTTTTTCTGACACTGTCTCTCTCGAGACAATGACCCAATATAAAAAGAAAAGCACAACAAAAAAGGTGGTACCCAACTCCCTATCTTTTCCCTAAGGGAAAATTTAACTTTATCTTAAACTTGGACCACAAGTCCATCCTAAAACAAAACCCATATGGAAAACAAGATAGTTATTAGTATTAGAAGAAAGTTTGATTTTGGTTAGAGTATTTTGGACATTTGAATATAATATAAGGGTCATTATAGAGAATTTATATAAAGGGAAAATTTCGAACAATGAACTAAAATTTTTGTAAAGTTCCAAGGTGAAAATTCCAAGATGAATATAGAGAGGTGTCCAAAGCATGCAACACATGCAAATTTAAATTTGGACTGTGTGAAATCTGGATTTTTTTGTATTTTCTTGTAAAGTCGGACAAGCAAATAGAGTCTATGTTAAGAGAGGAAAAAATCAATAGAAAGGTTTGCAAAGAATCCAGAAAGATCCTTGACGGTCTATTTATCCATGTACTATGTATTTGTGATTTGAGAGTGAAGAAATTATGCTAATTTGGTATCTTTTGTATGCATTACAATTTTTTTTAAAAAAATCTTTCTTTCTCCATACTTCCAACAAGTGGAATCAAAGCCAATGTGCTCAAGAATGACCCATTTGATCTAACAACAAATTCCCCTTCTCACTTAAGACAATTATGGGAATTGGAGTATTTAAATGACAACATTGTTGGGGTCTCAAGATGCTTGGGATATTGTTGAAAAGGGGTGTGCAAAACGGGCAACCCCTCAAGAAGAAGCCGTCATGGATCAAAGTAAAAAAATTGTGCTGAAGGAGTCGTGAAGGTTGCACAAGAATGCTTTCTTTATTATTTATCAAAAAATTAATGAGAGCACTTTTGAGAATGTTGCTTCCACCGCAAATTCCAAGAGGGTATGGATGAGTCTTTATAACTTTTTTAAGTGAGTTGAAAAGGTGAAAAAAATGTGCCTTCAAACTCTCATAGCCAAGTTTGAGGCATTGTATATGAATGAATTCGAAAATGTTTTGGCATACTTCTCAAGGGTTTTGGTTGTTGTAAACCAACTGATAACAAATGGAGAAAATATAGATGATGAAGTTAGAGTTATGGAGAGAATACTATGGTCAGTTGATTGTAAGTATGAGCATATAGCTGTAGCCATTGAAGAATCAAGTAATTTAGAGGCTATAACTATAGATCAACTAATGGGTTCCTTGCATGCCCATTAGCAAATATTGTGAAAAAAGACTCAAACCTCTTTGGTTCATGCACTTCAACCAAAGCATACAATAAAAGAAGAAAATGAAGAAGCTCGTGGGAAGAGGCCAAAAATGTCATGGCAATGGAAGGAAATGACATGGAAGAGGCAACTTTAACAATCGAGGTTTGAGAGATCAAAACCACAAGCTCCAAGAGAACAAGGAAGACGTAATTTTTTAAGGTCATATAATCATTCAATGTATAAAAAATCTACTATTGAATGTTAGAATTGCAAAAGATATGGCCGCTATAGTTTTGAGTTTAGATGCCGCTCTCAAAATGATGTATAAGCAAAAGCTAGAAGAAGAAGAACCAACTTTGTTATTAGCTTATAATGACACCAATAAAAATTGAATTGCTACTTGGTATCTTCGAACTGATGCACGCAACCACATGTATAATAGATAAAAGTTGTTCGTGGAATTGAATGAATTAAGTCATGGGCATATTAGAGACTTATCAAAAAGACCCATAAAAGGCAAAGGTAAAATTTTGATTAAAATAAGAAAATGGTGGTCATCAATTTATTTATGATGTATATTATGTGCCAGACATAAAAATTAATATTTTAAGTGTGGGGCAATTGTTTGAAAAAGGCTATAATAGTTTTACAAAAAATGATAGCATTTACTTAAAAGACCAATAAACTATTTGATTGCCAAAGTGATTATGCCTAATAATAAAATATTTTCAATTAATATTAAAAGTGAAATTATGGAATGCCTCAAATTAATTTTAATTGATGATTCATGATTACAGAATTTTCATTTTAAAGATCTTAATTTTGATGTTTTGAAATTGTTGGCGAAGGCAAAAATGGTGAATGATTTGCCACAGATAAAGCAACTCGATGATGTATGTGAAGGGTGCATTGTAGGAAAGTAACATTAAGAAAGAAATCTTAAAGAATGGAAAATCAAGGAAAGCACAAAATTCTTTCCAACTTGTGCATACAGATTTGTGTAAACCACTTGAACTCATATCATTTGGAAAAGGGTATTTTCTAACCTTTATTGATGATTATAATAGCAAAACATTGGTTTATTTTCTTAAAGAAGAATTGAAATCAAAGATTTATGAAATTCAAATCTTTTGTTGATAAAATGGTTTTCAAATTAACGTAATAATAATAGATAGACAAGGAGAATAGAATTCAATTTTTTTTTTATATTTTGTTAAAGAACAAGAATTTGTCACCAAATAGCCACATCTTACAAACCACAATAAAATAGGGTTGCAGAAAGAAAGCAAAAACAATTCTGAATAGAGCAAGAAGCACGTTAAAAGAAAAAAAAAAATGGCAAAAGAATTTTGGGCCAAGGTCATTGCTTGTGAATAGGTGTCCCATAAATGGTTTGTGGTATGTGACATCTAAAGGAGCTTGGAGCTCCTACAAGCTAAATGTAGATCATCTAAAAATCTCTAATTGTGTGGCTTTTGCTAAAACTCCAAAGGAGAATAGGGAAAGTATTGATGTCAAAGGAGAAAAATGTATATTTCTAGGCTATGGAGAAAATACAAAAGTTTACAAGTTATACAATCCCATTACTAAAATTATATTCGTCGTAGAGATGTGATTTTTGGTGAAAATTGAGTATGGGAAGGGAAAAATAATCGAGAAAAGAAACTATTGAGTTTGATGAGGTAAAAGGCTAGAAAGATGTTGAGTATCAAGAAAGTTGTTGAGTGGCTAATTCAACAAGGATTTCATCTCATAGGCCCATAAAAACAAAAAGCCTTCAAGAAATTTATTTGGTTACACATAGGCTTGATGTTGTGGATGAAGAATGAAGATTTCACATTGCTTTGTCTTTATACAGATTTTGATCTTATTTGTTTTGATGAAGCATGTAAAAGTGAAGTGTGGAAAAACGCCATCTATGAAGAGAATGAAGCAATTGAGAGGATTGACATATAGGAGCTTACAATACTTCCTAATGATGAAAAAGCCATTAGTTTGAAATAGATCTACAAGACAGAGATAAATGCTAATGGAGATATCAATAGGTATAAAGTAAGGTTAGTAGCTAAAGGGTAATGATGAGGCATTTGTCCCCGTTGCCAGTTGGGAAACTATTTGATTAACTATTTTGTTGCAACATGAAATAAATGGAAATCTTTTCAAATGGATGTAAAATTGGCATTCTTGAATGGTGTTATTGAAGAAGATGTGCATGTTGAACAACCAATTGGTTATGTGACGAAAAGACAAACAACTAAAGTTCACAAATTGAACAAGGCTTTATACAACTTAAAGCAAGCACCTAGGGCATTGAATAATAGAATTGATAAATATTTTCTAGAAAATGGGTTTTGTAAGTGCCCATATGAAAATTCCTTGTACATGAAAATGAAGCAATTTTTTTGTTTGTCGGTTGATGACTTGCTCTATATGGGAAATTGTTCGGGCATGTTTACAGAATTCAAAAAATCTATGATCAAGGAGTTTGAAATAACAGACATTGGGCTCATGTCATATTTTCTTGGCATTGAAGTTAAACAAATGGACACAAAATCTTATGCTAAAGCGATTCCCAAGAAATTTAAAATGGAGAATTATAATATAGTAAATACACCGGTGGAATGTGGTCCAAACTTGAAGCAAGAAGTTGATGGATAAAGGATTGATCCTACTTTTGAGAAAAGTATCATGGGAAGCCTCTTATACTTAACATAGACAAGACATGATATTCTCTATGGGTTTGTTTGATTTGCTGGTACATGTACACTTGAAATACGCCTTAATTGAGAGTGGTCCTCCATTAAATAGAGGGCGCATTAGAAGTTTGTTTTTTCAATTGTCTAATATTTTTTATCGTGTAATTTTCATTTAATAGTGGTTGGTTGTAGACTTGGACAATAAAAAAGGCACCCCAATAGGGCATTCACATGTTCATCAAATAAGCCACCAACCATGACACTATCGACTTGAGCGGCCGAGTACATAGCTGCCACATCAAGTGCTTCTCACGCATTGTGGCTACAAAATCTTCTCAAAGAACTTCTAAAGCCTCAAGAGCCTCCTAGGAAGATCTATATAGATAACCGGTGTGATATCACATTAGAAAAGAACTTGGTTTTTCATGAGAGAAGCAAGCGTATTGATACAAGGATTCATTTCATCAAGGACCAGTAAAAGAGAAGAAGGTTAAACTTCCTAACACAAAGACACAAGATCAAATTGCCAGTATTTTCATGAAACCCCTCGAATATAAAATGTTTTTAAAATTAAAATTTATATTAGGGGTAACCAAGTTAGAAAATTAAACAAAGAGGGGGGATTAAAATAAGATTGATTTTGGTTAAAGGTATTTTGGGCATTTGAATATAATATAGGGGACATTATGGGAAATTTTTGAGTAAAGTACTAAATTTTTTGTAGAGTTTGAAGATAAAAATTCTAAGATTAATGAAGAGGAGTCCAAATCATGCAATGAATGCAAAGTTGAATTTGGAATGTGTGTCCAAAATTTCTTGTGTTTTCTTGTAAATTCATCAATGCAAGTACGGCGCATATTAAGAGAGGAAAAACTTCACTAGGAAGGTCCATGTACTAAGTATTTGTGATTTGAGAGCAATGAAATTATGTTAATTTCTTTTTGGGTAATTCAATGGGGAAGACTGTCCCCTACCCATTTTTTCAGGTAGATTAGGAGTTAGCTTTTTTGGAAGGAATTAGTGAGGTGGTGTTAGTGGTGGGAATGAAAACCACAACATGGTAACAAGAGTGTGGGGTGCTACCACCATGATCCCACCCCCTTTCCCATTATGTTAATTTGGAATTTGTTGTGTGCATAAGAAAAAATCCACATAGAAAGTTTCGTTCATCCCTACTTCCGACAATTAGGAGATAACCTAAGAATATGAGACTCAAAATAAAAGGAAACTAATCCCCTAATAATAGGGATTCAAAAGGAGAACCTTAACGAAGGAACTAATTCCTTAAAAATAACAGCCCGAGGGCTGGCCACCACCACCATCTGAGGCTCGGGCCATGGTCATGTTAGGTCCAGCCCTGTTTGGCCCGGCTTGCCCCTATTTTTTCCTTTTATTTTTCTTTGATTGTATTTGCGCAGCCCGAGTTGAGTCCAGACTATGGGGAGTTGGGCTAGGCCTGACCTAGCCCCTTTCCAAACCTACCCTTCTAAAGGAAATTCTACGAAACATTTCCATACCCACTCAAAAGAAACTAGAAGTGCCTATATTTAGCCAAGGGTGCAGTTGGCATAAGGATGCTTCTGTAGTTGTAGAGGTAAGGTACGCCTTCAAATTTGATCATGGTATATAATTTTGATGTAAAATGTTCTTAGGATTATCTCAAAATCTATTTTTATATCTAATTATAAAATTTTAAATTTCAAAAATGGTTAAAATCAAGTAGATCTATAAATATATGAAAATCTTGAAAATAGACGGTGTAGATAATATGTTGTCAAATGCACTATGTTTTAGACTTAAAATCTTTTTATTTTTCATGGTCATACAGCTCGATGCCGAGATGATCGATCAAAGGGCTTTTCAACATTAAATTAGCTTTTCCGATAGATTTTTTAGGCGCATCCGTAGCTCTACATTATAAGGTTGCAACCTTATATAAACTCTTTCCTTTAAACAATGATAATTTTTATATGTCAAACTTACTGAATCGCCCGATGAAGGTAATGAGTGTGTCCTCTGTAGAATTCTACTCTCATTTGGTCATTAAGGGCCTCCTTAAGAGGAATCGACGCGTTGTTAAACTCAGATACACCTGTTCAAACAATTGAACATTTTAGTACTTACACAGTCTATAAATGTAACCAAAATAACAGAGAGAAAAAACTTTGAAAATAAAAAATTGATGAGAAACTAAAGGTGAAAGATTGATGAGGCAGAGATGCTACCATTTTCTGTGACATAAATGAGGGGATTGTTGTATCTTTTCTTAATATAAACGAGAAGATCTTTAAGACCCTTTGGATATATGTAGAGAAAACCGATACCCGCCTGAAAATTTTCACCTCCAATTAATTAGTACACTTTTGAATGTTCTATATTGCATTCAAATTTCGCCCAGAATATGCTAAGAAATCTAATATTTCAAAATAATGGAAGCAACACTACAATCTGTTCAGAATTCTAATATTTATAAATAAAAGGACAACATATGACATGGAAAATCAAAAGGAAAAAATTTGCCTAAATGCAAGGCTAACATCTGAAAACAATAAATAAGTACAATTTAACAGTGGCTAAAATGAAACGGTTGTATGATTAGAGACTTCACCTGTGGGCCGATCAATTTTCCATTCTTCATTCCTTCTCAGACCAGAAACAATAAATACTTAATATTTTTAGTTTATTGTGAAATAATGACAGAGTAGAGAGAGAGAGAGAGAGAGAGTAGTTACGTTTTACGTTTCTTACTTACGTGTTAGTTTAACGTTTAACGTTTGGTAGGTACGTACGTTACGTTTCGTTAGGTACGTTACGTTTAACGTACTTAACTTTACCTTC